AGCCTTTCCCTTTGAGAGAACATGGGTATCTTCCACATGTAGGAATGGAGTACCTTCTCCTAAAGTTTAATTTAAAGGGATAAAGTCACCCAGAAAGAAGTGAGCTCCTCCGCGTGTTTTTCTGCCAGCCTACGGCCACATTGTCGAAAGGCATTACTTCCAAGGGAGCCACAGGAAAATAGTCATGGATAACACACATCCAGCACACACAGGTTTTCAGAAACCTACACACAGACACAGGATGGGTCTGCTGTAGGATGTAGGACAGATAGATTGAGTAAAACAAGGAGTCAGATTTCACTCTGACATCCTCCCTTTAGGAATGCCAGAATGAAGATTGCAATAAAATAATAATTAACTTTGGGCATCCGGAAAAATTTAATTTGAAAGTAAACTTTTTCTTATCTCTAGCAGTAAATCTCTTTAAAAAAAGAAATTCCTACAAGCTCTTTCTTTCTTAATAATCAGTAACTGCAAGAAAGCATCTGTTTCCTCTACCCTTATAGCTGCACACAAAGATGCATTTCCAAGCAGAAAACATTTTTTTGGTTTACCTTTAAAGAGAAGAAAGGTCAGTAAAAAAAATACTTGTACCTGCATTACTCCAAACATAGTAAACATTAAAAATATTTAAATATTCATATTATTATTCAGGGAGTTAGAACTAATAGACTTTTCACAAACTGAAAATAAGCAAGCCAAAAACCAAGTCCCAAATCTGGAAATAGTTTATGTGTATCATAATTTTAAGAGGATCAGGAGTCCTATTAAATTCAGTGAGACAGATCATGTTTCCAGCGATATATTGTGTGATAATCAGGAAAAGACAGCTGGAGGTCAACAGAATTTACCTGGAACAGTTTACTCTGTTAGCAGGTTTTATCTTGCATGAATAAGAAAATTTTTAGAACTCTTAAGAGAAATAAATTACTGTGCTCCCTTCACCAGTAGCTTGCACTTTGTACTGACTGAAATTCTGATTTATTCTTTTGAGCAAGAGTGAAAGTATAGGAAATGATTCCTCAGAGTTTTGAAGGAGCTTTCTCTGAGTTTTGAAACACAAGTGGCAGAGCTTACAAAGAAATAAGTCCAGTGTCTGCTACCCTCACTCTGCTGTTGTTATTTAGGATTTAAATACTCCGGAAGAGAATTGTCATCTTTACAAAGTTGTAACTGAATTGGGAAACTGGGGCAGGATGAAATTTGACAACCAAAAAGTAAATACCTGCTACCAGCCTTTAGGGAATTGCAAAGAGATGCTATTTACCTTGGAATGCCTATGAGACATAAATAATTTTAATAGGATTGCAACAGATACACTTGAAAGAGAGGGTGAAAAAATATTAGATAAAGGATAATGAAAAAAAATTTATTTTTAAAAAGTTTATTATCCAAGAGGCTGGAATCATCTGTGCCACTGAACTACATTTAAAAGAAATAAAATTAAGACAAAGGGTCATTTTCCTCTGGTGGTGTTTCCAAAGCTTTACACTGGATTCCCCAATCCAACTGCCTTTTTATTATCTCTGAAGAATAAAGATTAACAGACCTTCAAAAAGATTATGATGCTTCTGATAAGAACTGCTTACAATCAATCCTTTGTCTGTCGAAAATTCCAAGCACATGCTTCTGTGTTAAATTAGGTATTTGGATTAAAATGGATATAATTACTCCTATTTACATGGTGATTTCCAACTATTAACTTGTTTTAACAGGTATTAGTGTTAATACACTGAATTATACGTTTCAGTATTATGAGATATAAATTATATTATGCGTGTTAACTCTGTTAAATATTCTCAATGTTTAACGGGTGTAATTTGAAGTGGTAAATAGTACTGCAGTATTTGGATTTGTATTTCTGTTTCCCACTGAATGCTCAATTTGACTTAACCTAGAAGTAAACAGATTGCATTTGGTTCTACCTGAGGCTAACCAGTGTTCGTGTCTTGAATTAGTTAAACATGAAGGTCTTTAATATTCAGGATTAAGGGAGCTTTTGGGGGATTTTTGGGAGCTGTTATGATGACAGAATGCTGGGGATCTTCCTGCTTTCTACAACTCCTGACAGGTGGGGATCGAGATCAGCTTCAGGATGAGAGTCTGAAGATGCACCAGGGGAGGTAAGTCGGACATTAGAGGAATTTCATCCAGGAAAGATGATTAGCCATTGGAATGGGCTGTCCAGGGAAGCCGTGCAGTCCCGGCCACTGGAGGTGTTAAAGACCGGCTGGGCACTTAGCGCCATGGCCAGGCTGGCACGGTGTGTTCGGCCATGGGCTGGACCCGATGATGCCAGCGGTCTTTTCCATCGGGATCGACTCTGGGATGCTGCGGGGCCCTGGCCGCCGTGAGGGAGCGGGAGCACCACGGTCCCTCAGCGCTCCGGTACCGAGCCCGCCGAGGAGGCGCCGGAGCAGCCGCGGGCCCGCCGGAGCCATTTCCCGCAGGCAGCGCCTCCCCAGCGCCCGCCTCAGGCGGCCAAAATGGCGGCGGCGGCTGAGGGGCGGGAAAAA